GTGGTGAACATGATGTAATCTATGCAGAAATAGAAGTATAATGATGTACACCTGAAATTTATACAACGTTATAAACCAATGTTACTGCAATAAACAACAACAACAACAAAAAATATTTCCTGCTTAAAAATCCAGTATAAAAATAGGCTGAAATGTATAAAAATACAACTAAGTAGAAATATTTACATCAAATATAGCAGATAAAATATTAGTGGTTACAATATTTAACCAAGCATAAGAAATGTGTAAAAACATAAAGACTTCATTAGACAAATTGACAGAAGATATCAATTCAGTAAACAACTTTAAACTATTTGGAAATATTTACTCTCACTAATAATGTAATAATTTCAAATTAGTAAATTTTAATTTTTTAATTTTGTATACTTTGCAAGTGCTAATTACAAAAAAAGGTATTATTCATGGTAGTACTTAAATGCTGGCAAGATGTGGTGACAGTAATGTATACTTACGTTTCTGATGTCAGTTTAATTTGGTCATTGTATTTTGGAATTCTTATAATAATAAGAATAAAAATCCTCCATGATAACATTTTCTAGATATCCAGATCTTCCGCCTCTGTAATCCTATGCCTGGAAGTTTTTCTTAAAGACCTAATACAAAGAAGTAAAGCTTATTTCAGCATCATCTGAACAGGACAAAAAAACGGAAAATCTTATATATTCTGTAATTGTCCAGTAACCTAGTGAAATATAAGATACTTATAGTCTTCCAGGCATTACATGCTAGATAAAATTGTTCTGTCTGCTCTAATGTTGCACAGCTTTCAAACTTTCTTTACATTTACGTAAGAGTAGAAAGAGAATATAAAAATAAATATTTGTTAAGATAGTGGTAGAGTGTTTTATTTTGTCTACAAATATCTACAATAATCGCAATATAGAGTGTTGTGATGAAATCCCAGTGTGGAACACACCCCAGAAGCGTTTACCCTGTTAAGGTGTGTGTTATCCCGGTACCCACTACCTGCCTCCTACACCAAAGATGAAATTGTGTTAGGCTGAGAGATCACAACAGAGTTAGCAACTTGCAGTGGAAGACGGACTGTTTCCCTCTGAACCTGCAGAAATTCTTGGGTCAAATGATTTAATGAGTGCTTGCTTTTCCTAAATTGCTTGTGCAGAAATCCACAAACTTTATAATGCAAGCCAGGAAATTGATTCAAACACAGATTGTTCTGTTAGGCGCCAATAAAAGTTCCTGTCCCAGTCACAAGATTTAAACGCTGTAGAGACGTGGTGCCACAGAGTCTGAGAAAAGTCAGCCCCAGTTTACTAGCATGATCAAGGATCCCACCCTACCTTTATTTAAAGTGCTACCGTATGTTGTAGATAAACACGATAAAACTAGGACCAATAGCCCAGCTTTATTGTCAGGCCAAAAATGGGATGTGGGAAGCCCATGGATCCTTTTCCCAGAACAAACTTGAAAATTAGTTTTCTAACTTAGAAGCGTGTATGTACCTTTACTTTTTGCTCTCCTGCTACATCAAAATGATTTCTTAGTGTTCTCTCTGTTTCTAAAGCCTTAATTTTATTTTCGAGAGTGGTTTTGGATGGATTTTCCTGTTTGGATCTTGTGTTTATTGGTTGCTATGGATTATTCAAAGACAAAGTTTAAAGGTTAACAAGCAGGCGCTACTCCCTCTGTGGCAAAGCGCTAAGCATTCTGATATTGGGACAGGCATGGATGGCAGCCCTAGATGGTGGATCAGGTTAACTCTCAGTGGCCATTCTCTTAGTTACATGTGACTTCTCTTTTCCGG